TCGGTGTATTGTATAATATGTATTATATAATACGTAGTATAATTAATATGTTATATAATATGCATTATAATCAATGTTATATAATATGCATTATAGTTAATATATTATATAAAATATATTATAATTAATCTATTATATAATATGTATTATAGTTAATCTATTATATATAATATGCATTATAATTAATATATTATATAAAATATATTATAATTAATCTATTATATAATATGTATTATAGTTAATCTATTATATATAATATGCATTATAATTAATATATTATATAAAATATATTATAATTAATCTATTATATAATATGTATTATAGTTAATATATTATATAATATGCACTATAATTAATATATTACATAAAATATATTATAACATAATACATATTTTAATAAAATACTGTACTATTTCCCAGTCGAAAATATCGAGCCACGACCGTTCACTTGAATCGTCGCCTAAAATCGTTCGTTCAGCAATGTCCATCGAACGGCTAAGTTTTTACGTATAGTTCCGAAGCACCTTAGTTCCACACACACACACACACACACATACACACATATAATATCGATGTTGCTCGTAACTCGAAATAGCCTGATCGCTCCCACATGTCGCCGGTCGCACCTTATCGATTCCGATTTCTGTTTTTTTCAGAGAGTCCACCAGATCTACCTTGAAGCCATATTTATCGGTGCAACAACGATCCGCGACGCTGCCGGCGAACGCTAGCATGGGCAAGTGACCGTAACTAGCGGAATAAATTCGATTAGACGCTCGTGCGCATTGAATCTTTTTTTCTTTTTTTTGGTTCGTAAAGAAAAAAAGAAAGAAAAAGGAAGAAAGGAAGGAAGAGGGTTCGCCCGCGCGAACCCTCCTCCGCCCCTCACCCGGAACTCGATTTTCGCGAGTGGTGGTCGGGTCTCCACGGATTTTGGCGACGGTCGATCGGTGTGATGTTTTGCCTCTGGTGTCGATCGTTATCAGCAGCTAGCTCGTTGGTTGCGCGCGGGGAATAGAGAGCGTACAGGGTATAGAAAAAAAGAACGCGTCACTGACACTGCTGTAAAATTTGCTCTCGTCGGCCACGGATAAGAGGACGGAGAACGGCGGAGAGACGACCCTTTTCTCCCCGTCGAGGATCGCGCTCGTGCATAGAAGAACAAGAACATTTCGTTGCACGTCGACAATACCGTCGCGAGGGAGGAACACTGAGTCCGCTGTTACCCGCGTCGTACTATCATACTCCGATAAGAAGTACGCGTTCTTATCGAGTGTGACAGAGAGATCCGACATGTAGAGATGATTTTTAATTCAGCGCTCGCTGCGTTCGACGCGACCATTAGCCGTCGGGCAAGCAGGTATAAACAGATTATATTTGTGTTTAGGCCGCGCTTTTCTTTTTTACACCTTTCGAGCTGTCCGACCGAGGACGCGTTAATCGTTCCTCCGCGATCTTTCACGCAAGAGCAGAGTTGATTCGACGTAGAAACGGGTCGCAGAGTCGGGCAAGCAGAGTATTTAGCGGTGCTCGAAATACTCTCCGTCGTCCATTCCGACCCCTAAGAAGCCCCACGGTAGATCACGGCCTGCGGTAGTATCATCGGGAGAACTGTATCGAATAGTTTCGTCGCGTCTAATGGTCTCTTTTTATTTATTCTCGCTTGCCGTTCGCTTAACCGAAACCCCATCCCCCGAACACTTGGCCGAGCGGGAGGAGAACTCGGGAGAGGAGCTCGGGAGATCCAAGAAATCCCGTGCGAAGCAACGTTGCTGGTAGGAGAGCTAATCGAATATTGCTGGTAGGAGCGAACTATTCGCCGGAAGAAACGCGACGACGCGAGTCTCGTAAGTCTGCCAAAAAATTCATTACGTTAACGTTAGTTGTCGCGAGATCGAGAACAAAGGCTCGCGAAACGACCGGGGCTGTCGCAATTGAAAATTCGAGAAATCGCGGATCTTATACGGAACGTTCCTTACGGATTTGAGAGTAGATTCTACGGCGATTTCGAAGGGGGGGAAAAAACCGGTGAAAAGACATAAATCGTTGCCGCGAGATCGGGAACAAAGGCTCGCGAAACGACGGGGGCTGTCGCAATTGAAAATTCGGGAAATCACGGATCTTGTACGGAACGTTCCTTACGGATTTGAGAGTAGATTCTACGGCGATTTCGAAGGGGGGGAAAAAACCGGTGAAAAGACATAAATCGTTGCCGCGAGATCGGGAACAAAGGCTCGCGAAACGACCGGGGCTGTCGCAATTGAAAATTCGAGAAATCGCGGATCTTATACGGAACGTTCCTTACGGATTTGAGAGTAGATTCTACGGCGATTTCGAAGGGGGGGAAAAAACCGGTGAAAAGACATAAATCGTTGCCGCGAGATCGGGAACAAAGGCTCGCGAAACGACCGGGGCTGTCGCAATTGAAAATTCGAGAAATCGCGGATCTTATACGGAACGTTCCTTACGGATTTGAGAGTAGATTCTACGGCGATTTCGGAGGGGGGGAAAAACCGGAGAAAAGATATAAATCGTTGCCGCGAGCCATTGGATGATAATCTTCGCAAGCAGCGCGCGGTGACGAGGGATCGCGCCGCGTCGTTTTACACCAGGTTTTCCACGGGCCCGGAGAACGGATCGAATTTTTATAGCGATTTTTCTTCCCAAGGACGCTTGAACACGATTTCCCCGTTGTAGATACGTTTCGATTAAACAACCGTCGTCGGTCGAACCGCGCGACTCGTCCGCTGTTTTCGCGACGAACGTCGTCGAGAGAAATTATTTAACGAGTATGCGGCGTTCGCATCACCGGCGATTAGTATGTCGAAACCCTAGAAGGACCAAACATTGATCAGCGCGCGCGGCCATTTCGTCTCTTTCGCCGAGTTTCTTTCGATTCTTCGCTCTCGAAACCGCGGTTTCGCAGCGATCTCACGAAAACATAAGCGACAATAAATCATCGTTTCATTAATTAAGACACTTTACCTACCGATAGTTATTTAATACTGTGTCGCCGGCCTTTTGTGTTTAGGCCGCAACTTTCTTTTTTACATCTTTCGAGCTGTCGCACGCGTCGATAAGGGGTGGTTTTTGATGCGACGATCGACGCAGGGACGCGATCAATTTCGGGTTGTTGCTTGGTGGAAGATCGTGGAGCCTCTTTCGCGCACGGCACAGTCGCCGAGAAGCCTAATTTACTGGCATCCGGTAGCTAAAGTGTTGTCCTTCACGGCCGGATTTGAGAGTAGATTTCGGAGGGGGGAAAACCGGAGAAAAGACATAAATCGTTGCCGCGAGCCATTGGATAATAATCTTCGCGAGCGGCGCGCTGTGCCGAGGGATCGCGTCGCGTCGTTTTACGGATCGAAGATCGGATCGAATTTTTATAGCGATTTTTCTTCCCAAGGACGCTTAAACACGAAGCGACCCCCGAAGCCACCCCCGCGCCCGGTCTTTCTAGGGTTCGAGGACACTCGGCGCGATTCACGCTTCGGAGCACGTAGGGGTTGCGTTGCGCGCGGGGTGCGCCGAGAATCGCGACGCGACCGCGAGGGGGATGATTTTATAGGAAAAGATCGGTCGAAAACATGGAAAAGAATATTTTGCGGCGGATCGGAAGTATTGTCGTTTTTACGCGCGTCTCGGGGTTAGAACGTTCAAAGCGGCGCCGGTTAAAATTGGGATCGCGTTTTCCGCGCGGTGGAAAATTTTACGAGGAGGATTTTACGCGGAGTCATCCGGCGCGGCTGCCAAAGTACATATACAGTAATGTCTCTCTAATTGACGCTCAGATTGTCCACAAAAATGGACAATTTGGGAAGAGAAGACACGATTATGCGAGCCTTGCAGCTCGTTTTTATAATCGTTGACAACTCGTAACTCTAAGAATGAACCGCAAGGATCTAGTAATTGTGTCTTCTCTCCCTAGATTGTCCACTTTCGTAAAAAAAGCGTCAATTAGAGAGACATTACTGTATTTATTTTACTTAGAAGCGTGCGATCTGCGATCCTTCAGATTTCGCTTCGAATTTTTAGATCGCTTGGCAAGATTATAAAACGGTTACAGTAATGTCTCCCTAACTGACGCCCGGATTGCGCATAAAAGTGGACAATTTGGGAAGAGGAGACACGATTATTATTGAGCCTTGCGACTTGATTTTATAGTTGCTGAGAATCGGTAATTATAAAAACGAGGCGCAAGACTCGATTTAATCGTATCTCCTTTTCCCAAATTGCCTATCTTTGTGGACAATCCGAGCGTCAATTAGAGAGACATTGCTGTATTTATTTTATTCCGAAGCGTGCGATCTGCGTGCAAAGTCGCGACTCCTTCAGATTTCGCTTCGAATTTTTAGATCGCTTGGCAAGATTATAAAACGGTTACAGTAATGTCTCTCTAATTGACGCTCAGATTGTGTATAAAAGTGGACAATTTGGGAAGAGGAGACACGATTATTATTGAGCCTTGCGACTCGTTTTTATAGTTGCTGAGAATCGGTAATTATAAAAACGAGGCGCAAGACTCGATTTAATCGTATCTCCTCCTCCCAAATTGCCTATCTCTGTGAACAATCCGAGCGTCAATTAGAGCGACATCACTGTATATCGGTTTTAGAACGAGACACGTAGATTTTGGATGCTGTTAACGCGTCGACCAACGGCAACGCCGAGAGAACATCGAGCGCCGAACGTATTTTTAATTCACCGAAGTCTCGATTGTTGTTTTCTTTTCTTTTCTGTTCGTTCGAACAGCGTCTCTGTACCGTTTCGTACAATACGGAATCTTCGGCCGGAACGTACGAGGATTCTCGGAACGTTTGAAAGTTCGATGGATATTATTTGTATGCAGCGCGAGTCGTTGGGGACAAGCTGTTTTATAGTTTTTATGGTTTTGGAGAAAAGATGAAACCGAGACGCGGGGTCCTGTTAAAAACAAAACAAAAAAAAATAGAAAAAACGAGGCGATAAAATTTTTTGGTTCGAACGCGTCTTCTCTTCAAATCTGTGAAGGTTATCGATTCGGTCAGCTTGTGTCGGACGGCTATTCCTGTATTGTAAATTGTCGTCCCTATTGCCATGTACTCGTAAAACGTATTGCGGTCGTGTCGAAGAACAAAGTGGAGAATGAGCACCTCGAGCACGGGCCCGGGCTGTCGATATTTTGGGACCAACAAAGCCTGATCGGAGCGATCTGCGCACGGTGGTGGCATCGGATCATAATACTCTACGAATGGACTGCGGATCTTCGCGCGAAATAAAAACTTTCTGCTAAAAACTTCTGAAAGATGCGCGAGTGCCAACGGTAACTTCTTTTCTTTCTTTTAAAAGTAATTACGGCGAGTTGAAATCGACGCGTCGACATTCGCGTTTCCTTTCGATCTTTTCACCGTTTCATACGTCGCCTGTCGATTTTTGCCACGAACGCATCGAATCCGCGGTCTAGCTGTACAATAATAACGTTTACGTTTATCCGCGATCGTTGAACTAACGGCCATCGTCCGTTTTCAACGACGATCTCCTGCCAATTTTCGTGTTTTCAATTTAAGAAATTTCTCTTTCGATCGCAGCTACATCGAACGTGTGGGAAGAAATTTCGAACGACGCGACTTTTATGTGGACCAACCTAATTGCTTCCTCTCTCTCTTTCTCTCCCTCACTTTCTCTGGCATCGTTTGTTGGCCCCGAGGATAGACCGACCGAAGCTTGTCGCCCGTGCCTGGGGTGCACGATCGATGAACAAACTGCGCCGCGAACGAGCTTGATTGTATAGTAGAGATAAATATTTACACAGTTGTAACTTAAGAATTTTTAACACGATGTACGATATTCGCTATTAACTAGGAAACAGAGGAGCAGAATCAAGAAGCCTTAGGAGTTAGGTTGGACGGTGCCCGGTGAGATTAGCGAGCGTGAGGCATCGAACAAATAGAAAGACAAAAAACGGGAAGATAAATGATATGTAACGAGCGTGAAGAACGTATTATTAATCGTCGTCGTCGTCGTCGTCGCCGCTTGTGTTCTTGTTGTGGTACCTCGGCTATGGGTCGCACAGCGTGGTATCATCGCAACCTGCGTGATTGATTCATCAATCGTCGAAGGAACGCTAGGAAATCGTTCAAAGAATTCTCACGGTTCATTCGGAATTCCTATTATACAGGATGTTCCATAATTATGCTAACACCTGGAAAGGGGTGATTCCTAAGGTCATTTCAAGCAACTCTTTCCTTAACGAAAATGCGATCCGCGGCTTCGTTTACGAGTTATTAACGAAAAACGTGGACCAATCGGAGAGCGAGCGCGGCCGGCGCTCCGCCCTTGCGGCCAATGCCGCGGCGCGCCGACCGTCTGACGCGGCGACAGCGGTCGCGAGGGCGGAGCGTCAGCCGTGCGCGAGCAGAGGTCAGTGTTTTCCGTTAATAACTCGTAAACGAAGCCGCGGATTGCATTTTCGCTAAGGAAAAAGTCGCTTCGAATGACCTCAGGAATCCCTGATTTCCCGGAAATACCATAATCTTGGGACACCATATACAATTATCCGATCGGTTGCAACTTCGAACTGTGACTAGATTTTTAATTGAAATTTCTGCTGGATTGCTTTCGTATCACTCTGTGCGTCGTTCGGGACAAGCGGGAAAAAAATGAATATTCTCGTCCGTCGACCCTCGTACGCTCTTCGGAAACGATCGCGAACCCTGTTAAGGAACCGCGTTCCCTAAAACGCGTGTTCGCCGAAGAGATCGAACGTTTCCGCCGCGTCCGGGAAAGGAGAACGAACGGGTGGACATTCGTAGGAGCATACGAGGGTTGCCATTTCCATCCACATCGTAGGTTGCCGGCGTGTCCTCGCGCGAACATTTTTCAAATGGTGCTCCCCTCCCGTTCTAGATCCCTCGATCTTGATCCACGCCTCGTCCTTATTCGTCTCGTTCTCGGGTCGAGAGCGAAGCTTGTCGGCGGTTTCGAATCCAACGGCAGGCGGCGGGAGCGAATGGTAACAGCGACCGAAACGAGTCGCGCGGTCATGGATAAAGAAAGAGCAAAAAAAAGGAGAAAGAAAAGAAACGAAACGCAAAAAAAAAGAACAATAGGAACACCATTTTTCAACTACTGCCTCGTGCCTTCTTTCCGGTCCTCCCGGCCCTCTCCCGGCCGCGCTCGGACAAGCTTTTTTGTCCGGGCCGCGACGGCGAGCGCCGGGACGCACTGATTTTTGCCAATTGCGAGATAACGAGAGAGAGAGAGAGAGAGAGAGATAGATGCAAGAATAAGAAGAGGCGGATGAACTTGTTAGAGCATATTTTATTATTGTTTAGTTATTTACAATCTGTATATTATTAATTAATATTATGATTAAAGTATTTTGTAGATAATACAACGCGAGTCTAGACGTTTCCACCATCGCCGTGATCGATGAATTGTGTCTGTCGTTGTCCACTAACGAAAAAACAATGCAGAAGCTTGTCGGATAACGGGCGGATCGATCGATCGGTCGTTCGTTCGTTCGCGAAACCGAAATATTATTATCCGACGATCTTCTCACCTCGATTAAACGTTTACGATCATTATCATGTATATGTATATTTATAGTATTAACGGTAAGACAACACACTCGACTGCCATTTTTCCTCTCGTCCTCTCCCCCCGTGTTTCTCTTCTCTGTTTCTCTTCGTCTCCGATTTCTACTTTTCGAAGCGCGCGTGCCGTGCGTACGTTTTTCTTTCTTTTTTTCGTGTGTTCGTTCGTGCACGACGTGTGTACTTTTCTCTTTCTCTCTGTCTATTTTGTAGTCTCTTCTTTTCCTTTCGTTTCGGTATCTTTTTTTTTTTGTAATTGATTTATGTAGTACAAAATAATACTCCATATAATGTGCAGCCTCTTCTTCCTTTTGTTTTTGTTACGATATCTAACGTTTAAGTTCGCCCCGAGATGATGATGATGATGATGATGATGACACGGGCTCTTCTTTGCAATCGTACGTTTTCGAGCGTTGCTTTCGCAAACATGGCGCGCGATCATCGATCGAATGGGATCGATTTAGAGGCGATCGACGTCGCGACAACGACCTGGTCTCGTTCAGTTCGACACACCCGGTACACTTTTCTCCACTTTCTAGAGGGCTTCGCTCGCTTCGAGGAACGCTCGGACCGTCGCTGGAATACGATCGCAGTTAATTAGCGGCCGTCGCTCGTTTACGAGGCATCGTCCGGCCGAGGTGATGTTCGGAATTAATGAAAGGGTCCTCTTTGCATATCCACGCCGCGGGTCGGCGACCTTTAACCTCTTAGGCACGAACGAATTTTCTTTGGCGCGGCCTGTTACTCTACGCGCCGGAGTTCACTGGCGTATCAAAAGCAAAAACTACACAGAGTGTCCCAAAAATGTCTCGCAATCCGGAAGTGGCGGGTTCCTTGGGTCGTTTGAAGCAACCTTTTCCTTTACAGAAATGTTCTCCGAGGCACTGTTAACGAGTTATTAACGAAAAACAGTGACCAATGAGAGGCGAGCTCGGCTGGCGGCGAGGCGACCGAGCCAATGAGCGGAACGGGGCTTCGCGCGCTGGTTGGCCGGGCCGCCTCGCGTCAGCCGTACTCGATTCTTATTGGTCACTGTTTTTCGTTGATAACTCGTTAACGGTGCCTCGGAGAACATTTTTGTAAAGGAAGAAGCTGCTTCAAATGACATTTTTGGGACAAAAATGTATAATGTAGAGAACATATTGATTATCAATAAAAAAATACTGTTAATGCCATTGCAATATTATATCAGTAACTTAATATTATTATATTTTGTAAAACCTCGTGTTTTCTTTCAAATAAAACCGTGGCACCCAGCGCAAGACGCGCTAAATTTGCGTGTCAGTCAATAGGTCAACCTATATTGGAACGTGCGAAGATGAGGTGTCGTTCTTGAACGCATTGACTGCCAAGTTTATATTGAAAATATTCGTTCCAGATGCCAACATTTCTTTCGTTGAAATAAATATATAATAATAAGTGAAAAACGCGAGAAAAGGCCCAGCCAACCAGCGCACGAAGCCCAGTTCCGCTGATTGGCTCGGTCGCCTCGCGCCGGCCGAGCTCGCATCTCATTGGTCACTGTTTTTCGTTAATAACTCGTTAACGGTGCCTCGGGGAACATTTTTGTAAAGGAAGAAGCCGTTTCAAATGATCCGAGGAACCCGCCATTTCCGGATCGCGAGACATTTTTGGGACATGCTGTATATTATTAACTGACTGTATATATGTTGACTGATACATTAACTGAGTATATATTATTATGGCTCTATATTATTATTAACGCTGTTGCAAAACGTTGCGAGGGCAAAAAAGTGCGGAGCAAGACAAATGAAAATGATCGTTTAGTTCAAACGGTGAGCGAATGAGTCAGCAGAGCGAGCCACTATAGCGGCGCGTTATAAATAAGCTGGCATCGTACCTAAGAGGTTAAACGACTTCCCGAGACGGACGAGTTAACCCTTTTAGTGCCGGGCGAAAAAGAGGTACCTATATAATTTAATAAATGTATCTTCTTCTTCTTCTTCTTTAGGTGCCGTGTCTGTATTCAGACTTTGGTCATCATCGTGCATTCCATGTAGCTATCTTACACGGATTTTTCATTTGCAACTTCTGTTTGGTGATGTTTTGTTTCCGTTTGGTGCTGTTTTGTCCACAGGGATTTCGCTGGTTAACGACCTGGGAAGCCCTGCGGTCTGATTGTGATTTGCCTCCCCTGCCGGATCTTGGGTTCCGCGGCCCATGATCAGTAGCATTATTCGTTGCTTTGGTCAATGTCATGATGATTATACTAGGGAATATAATGGGGTGGTTTCTCCCGTTGCCTTCCCCATCGCAGTGTTTTAGCCGGTGCAATCTAATATAGTGATTGCCGCCTAAATATATCTGTACTAAACTGTTCCGAAGTATTCTTCTCCACTTTAACACGTTGACTGCCACGCGTTTTGACAACAAAATCTCCTACAGGCCACCCGTGCCGCTATAGGAAGCGTGCGCTGTTAATTCATATCTGTTTCTGTTCCTGCATGAACAGTTGGAATCTTTGCCGAGTACCGAATGGTGTAACTTAAAATTTCTGCCCTTATTTTGTTCAATAATGAAAAGAGATCGGATTGCCCGGAAGGAGAAGCACAAATAGAATTACATCGTCAGATTCTGATTCGGATACTGATAAATACGATCTTAGTGATAATGAATGTTATGAAGATACTATTGACGGGATTTTACGAGAGAATTGGTCATGGAAGAAGAAAGAAACGTTGATGATACCGAGGAAGCTACAGTTCAAATAAAAGCTCAAATAAAAGATACGAAATGGACCGATCAGAGGCACGTGCAAATCTGAAAAAACCAACAACTTTTCGTCCAAGCTGTCCTGATCAACCTCAACTTTGCAGAGAATGTTTTAATGTTATTCACTGCGAATGATCTTTTTAATAAACCATTTTTATAAGAATTCAATAGTTTCATTACCTCCTGTAGAATACTTGTCGAAATATTTTCGGAAATCCTTTGTAAGTAGTCGAATCAGCGTCACCCGAATTACGGGTGACGTGGCCTGATGAGAACTTTTGCTGTCACCCGAATACGGGTGACGCGGCAGTCAACGTGTTAAGACAGTAATGAAAATGCTGCTTCCATTTTCATGTGCTAGTTTTGGTCCGCCCCGAGTATTTTATTTCCCCGGTACCACCCCATATCTGGGAGGCATTCCCCTATCCGCCACCTGGGGAGGCGCCCGATTGGATACCGATGTTTAAATGAGCTGCGTTTTAAATTTCCTACAAAAATCGGCACGAACTTTCCGGACAACCCAATACTTTTTCTCGACACTGTTTCAGGGAGGCGAGACTCGTTCAACAACACGTTGAAAACGGGGCACGATTTAGGAACTTGTTCTTTTTTTCAAGGGAAACCGTATTGCGTTCGCTGACCAAATCTGTCGTCCAGATAGTTCAGAGCTAAGTAAACTTATATAGTAACTTTATAATTTATTTCAACTGTCTTCGTAACATTTTGGCACGTACAGATTACATTCTAGGACATCGGTGGAAATTTGTTCGAGAATTCGACTCGCTGCACCGCCGTGATTCTAAACCTGCTCGACGATCGACGATCTCACCGACTGTACGATCCGTCCCGAAGAAATTCGACGTTTTCAACACCGGTTGCACGAGCTGCTCCCTCAAGTGTGTCACTGCTACGATTAACCCGTCGCCGTACCATTTTCTTTGCGATTGCGACGATCAGAACATTTTCGAACGCGATCATTTATTCGATGAAAATGAAACTTTGTATTTGTCGCGTGTTCACGTCCACTCGAATGTTTAAATATCGGAGACTTAAACGGAATTTAAGTACGGCAAGGGGTTAAGAACGGTTAAGAACGAAAGTACAGTGAATTTTGTCCGATCGTCGTTCAGTTTGAAGCTGAAAATAGACGTAAATATTTTAATAATTAGATCATGATAGATTATAATTTGATAAAATTGAATAACTTGAGAAGAGGGGACACGATTTGTCGCGCTTTTGCTTTTATAATTGTTGACAATCCGCTCCCTCTTCCCAAGTCGTCCATTTTCGTTTCCATCCTGAACGACAATTCGAGAGAATTTACCGTGCCGAAGACGAAAGCTACTGAATCGTTCGGGGTGATTAATGTCGTGCTCGGCATGGAGATTAAACGTTCTGTCGTTTATTTTTGTCAATTTTCTGTCGCTTATAACCATCTCGTAACCATCTCGACGAGGCGGGTTCACGTTGAAACCGGTAGCACAAACATGAAATTCGGGGACCTCGAACATTCGTTTCGCTCGCACTTAAATACGCAGCAGCTTATTATACGTACACAACATCATCCTTTTTCTACAGCTTCCACGGGTCGAACTCGCTGCACCCGGTAGGTCCTTACGTATGAATACATGAAAATCAGTACGTGAATAGTTTTTAATTGCAAAATTCGAGCGATCCATTTCGAGTACACGAATATATTCATATATAATTATATATATATATTTTTATATATATACTTTTGATTACATTCGCTAAAGTCTATACTGTGTTTTAAACGGGCGGTCGACAAAAGGAATTTCAATTCGAATCGTATAATCAGTCCGTTTCTCCTATTCGAGTACATTTTGTTTCGAACGCGGAGTGTGTTCGCGGGGATGATCTTCCACCCCCCTCTGATCGTCGTCTCCTCCTCGCTTCCGATTGCCGGATATGTGATTGAGTTCTTCGTTCTCTTTTCATCGTCGCGATTCACAGAAGACCGGAGCGAGACACGTTTTTTCGCTTCGAACGTAATCGGAAACGATCTTAGAAACTATCGGCGGCGGATCGGCCGCTCAACCCCTTGACATACAACGACGAGTCGGGGTCGTTATTCGTTTCACGTGCCACTTTCAAGAGCCGTTTTCGGCGAACGCCTCGCGGGGTACATTATTATTATTGGGTTGTCCGGAAAGTTCGTGCCGATTTTCGATAGGTAGCGTGAGAGACCTGACCGAATATATCACGATTGTTGAAAACAAATGACATGTGTACATATTCTAAAAGAGATAACTTCAGCGATATTTGGAAAAAAGTTTGGTTACGATTCGTTAATTTTTATCAGTTTTGTAACGCCTTAGAATATGGTGGCAAATAAAGTGCATTATAGGCATTTAATGCTTTTCTTTTTCCGGAAGGGCAAAAATGCCGCACAAGCGGCAAATAAGATACGCGCTGTTTACGGCGAGGATGCTGTAGCCGAAAGAACTGTGCGGAAGTGGTTTGCTCGGTTTAAAGCTGGAAATTTCGACCTTGAAGATCAAGAACGCCCAGGGTAGGCCGTCCACCACAGACGAAGATACGATTAGAACAGAAATGGAGAATAACCCACGCTCAACATTACGTCAATTAGCAGGAATGCTAAATAAATCAAAATCAACCATCCACGATCATGCTGTGAAGCTTGGCTCCAATATTTCAATGAGCTGCGTTTTAATTTTCCTAAAAAATCGGCACGAACTTTCCGGACAACCCGATAGAAACGGATTAAGCACAGTCGTTACTTAACGCTTAAGAAAATCTTCGTACAAATGTGGACCGACCCTGCGTTATGTGCGCATTTTCGGCGTGGCACCCCGTGCAGTGGGAGTGTCACGGCGGACAACGCTAAATAAATCAAAATCAACCATCCACGATCATATTGTGAAGCTTGGCTATGTAAAATCGGCACGAACTTTCTGGACAACCCAATGAATCACCCAGTTGCTTCGCTCGCGCGTCGATTCTGGTTTGTTTACAACGTTCGAGGTGCCCCACCCTCCCGCCGTCTCGACGGTATAACAGCAACAAAGTAGCGGCCACGAATCGGTAAATCAGAAAGAAGCACATCGAAAGCAGTGTTCTTCGGTATAGCAGCGATCTTGCACGGCGAATGCCATACTAGACGATATTTGAGTTTGGTAAAAATTATATAAATAATACCTGTCGCGTGTATAAGCATAATACGTATACATAATAATATAATGTATAATAATATGATACATAATAAGTATAATACATATTCCAAAGTGTTTTAAAATGTTTTATACTTTAATGATATTATAATATTATAATATATAATAATATTATTATTATAATATAATATATAATATATATAATATATATAATATAATATAATATATATAATATATATTATAATATATAATATAATAATATTATATATTATAATATTATTCATAATATTATTTAATTGTTCTCCGTTGACATTGAATATCAACCTGATCGATTGTTACATAAGAAATGAACATTTCAAATTAAAACATTCTCTTTCTCAGCTTGCACATAACTGTTCGGTCGAGACAATTTAAATAGTATTTTTCTAATAGTATATGAGCCGTTTATTTTGAAAGTGGCTTAAGTCACTTTACCGTAATGAAAAGTGGTGATTTTTTAATGTTTATACGAAATTATTTACACCGAGAAAAATATCAGTATCCCGAGATAACAAATACAAGTAAATCTTCTCGAAAGTTAGCATCCATATTTTTGAACGTGTTCAAACGCAAACCCTTAAATATATCAACTTAAAAACAAGTGACTTACATCACTTTCAAAATAAACGGCTCATATTTGTATGTCAAGGGGTGAAATAAGTACGCGATCGGTGGCCGATCGATCAACGCTAGAAACCATACAAATAGAGAGAAAGAGAAAGTGTCCGAACGACGGGACATCGAGAATTCTCACTGCGTCGCACGTGTTTACAGAAAAAGAAAGGAACGCGCTCGATTTCTTCGAGCGCTAAAATATGTAACGATGCGACATCGTTAACGAAACAAGCTCCCGTCGGTGAAGATTCGAGCAGGCGTCTCTCTCGCCCGAAACGCTCGACGATCCACCTTGCCTTTTTACACGCGCGCCATATTTATCTCGTCCACGGTGGATCGTCGGCGTCGAGCGTTTTTGTACAAAACGAAGCAACCGTTCTTCCGCGCGGAATAGTGTTTCTCTAATTGACGCTCAGATTTCGCACAAAAATGGCAATTTGTGAAGAGGAGATACGATTACTTGTTATAGTTATAAATTGTTTATAATTTATATATATTATTATTACATATATTATATTATTATATATATATATATATTTATAATATATATATTTTATATAATTATTATTATAATTATAATAATTATATTATATTATTATTATAATATATATTATATATAATATATAATTATTATATATACATATATATAATAATATATATATATTTATTACATTGTTATAGTTATAAATTGTCCACAATTATAAAAACGAGCCGCAAGGCTCGAATAATCGTATCTCCTCTTCCGAAATTATCCACATTTGTGGACAATCAGAGAGAGAGAGCGTCAATTAGAGAGACATTACTGTACAATAATGTGGACAGTTTGAGAATAGGGGATACGATTATTCGAGCCTTGTGGCTGTTTTTGTATAGTTACCGATGCTCAACGACCATAAAAATAGCCCACAAGGCTCGAATAATCGTATCTCCTCCTCCCAAAAATTACCCATTTTAATGGACAATCCGAGCGTCAGTAAGGGAGACATTGCTGTACCTAGCATCGTTCGTTCCATCTTCCAGCACGTGCAGTCGCCGGACACATGAAATCGCGACACGTTCGCCTCTTCGTCTAAATTACATCGAAATACGGATAAAAGACAGAACCGACGAGTCGAAGTTGAAAACGATCGCGCGACGACTCGTCTATCGATCGCCGCCCCGTCGTCTTTCTCGCCGAGGATTCCTGGATCGTTCGACGTCGGCGTCGTCGACGTCACGATCCGTCGCGATCGTCGATCCGGCGAAATCGCCGTCGTTTGACGGAGAGCCGGAGGGGACGTCGACGGAGAGAACGTGTGTTCGACCAGGCGAGAACAAAGAACCCGTTTTCGTCGGCGACGGGAGAAAGTGCATCCCCCCCTCCCCTCCCTCGTGCGTCGGCCTCGCTGACCGGACCACGGCGTTTTTCTTATTTACAACATAGAGAAGAGATATCTGCCTACTACCGTTTAACGCTATATCATGTAAAGGCGATACACTCGGGAAACACATGCATGCATGGCCACAAGATATAACCGGAGCGGAGGGAGTTCGGACATGTAAGGATGCTCGTACAATTCTTGTACACACGATATTTATACACGTCGCTTTTGGCCGCGGATCTTTGTGCAGAGTGAAAGTGCCGCTTGGATCGCGGATATGACAATTCGATGATGACGCTGCTCGATCGTGGGGAACGTTGCGAACGCGGATTTTTATGCGGAGAACGAGTGAAAAAAATGTCTGCGTCGCTCGCGCGATGATGAGAGAAATTAAACAACGCGTTTATACTTCTTATTGATATTAAATTAAATAGCGCGTTTGCTTCTTATTGATATTGAATTAAGTAGCGCGTTCTCTTCAATTTCGTACATCAAGGACAATGCATTGACATTTTTTTTACTTCCTTTAATCTCGAACCGGAGATTNTAATATATAATAATATTATAATATTATCATTATAATATTTTAATATAATATTATATATAATATAATTTATTATGATTAAATATAATATATAATAAATATTATATAATATATATTATATATATATAATATTATAATATATAATATAATATATAATATAATATATAATATATAATATAATACATAATAATATTAATATAATTTAAAAAAATTATAATATATAATAATATTATAATATTATCATTATAATATTTTAATATAATATTATATATAATATAATTTATTATGATTAAATATAATATATAATATAATATATAACAATATTAATATAATTTAAAAAAAATTATAATATATAATATTATAGTATTATTATTATTATAATATTTTAATATATTATTATATATAATATTATATATAATATAATTTATTATGATTAAATATAATATATAATAAATATTATATAATATATATTATATATATATATAATCTGTCTCTTATACACATCTAGATGTGTATAAGAGACAGATTATATATATATATAATATATATTATATAATATTTATTATATATTATATTTAATCATAATAAATTATATTATATATAATATTATATATAATATAATTTATTATGATTAAATATAATATATAATAAATATTATTATAATATATATTATATATAATAATATTATATAATATTCGCCGTGAACGCATAAAATCCGCCAATCTAGTCGCGAGGTTCCCAAATTCCTCTGTTTTCACCGTTTCGTGTCTCGTCTATGTTCACTTTTGTACAAACGATTCCGATCCGCGCTGATCCCTCTCGATGACGAAGGACCGAGACAGGGTGACGTACCTCGAAACTTCGACTCTGACGAAGATCCACAATTCACGGCACGATCGTGCCGACGAGAACGCAGGCAATTCGATCATTTTTTTCACGATCAAGTTTCACAGAGACGAAAAGACTAGAATTTGTGTAAAATGCACAGCGCGTGCTTAACGAGCAATAAGAAAAAGAAAAACGTATCGCGGAATATCGACTGCGAACAGTGCCAGCCAGAGTCGTTGTTTCTGCGCGAAGTTCGAACGACGACGTTTCTGGATCGTGCGAACTTCGTAACAGAAGTGTAAAAATTAACTTCACACACGTTCGTGGTCCCCGTATCGATGCGTCGGATCGCTGAGAAAAATGGTAAAAGACCGGACGGTACTGGATCGGGCGTACACCGAAGCTGTTAAAAGAGTCGTGCTAGTTTATGCCGCGTACGGAGACTCCGACGAGAAGTTAATATATTCACGAAAATCGCTCGCTATTTGCTGTCGATATTCTTGCGTTTGTTTGTACTCGATGCCTATAGGTCCGAATGTGTTCAACAATCGAGGGGATTAATCTTGAAGATTGATCCCTTGACGCACTTTGATGAGTCCGACTCGTCGTGAAAATATTCTGTATATTTATATATAATATTACTTGTAAATATATATAATATTATAATGATAATATTATTATTATTTATAATTATATATAATATTATAATAATAATATTATTTGTAATTATACATAATATTATAATAATAATATTATTTATAATTATATATAATATTATGTATAATATTATTCTGTAATATAAATTCTAGTAATAATGTTATTCTGTAATATATAAATATTATAATATAATATGTAATTATTATTAATATAATATAATATTACATATTACATATTATAATATATAAATATAATATTGTTTATAATTATACATAACATAATAATAATAATACTATTATAATATTATATTATATAATATTATAAAATATAGTATTGCAATATTATTATATATAATATTATGTATAATATTATATATAAATATAATATTGTTTATAATTATACATAACACAATAATAATAATACTACTATAATATTATACAATATAATATTACAAAACATAGTATTACAATATAATTACATATAATATTAATTTAATTTAATCGCATATAATCGTATGCAATATTATACATAATATTATCCTATAATATAAATTCTAATTCTGCTCTTTAAAATTGGAATAAAATCCTAATCTCTCGTCATCAATATCTAAGCATTCGAGTAAATTCAGGCACAGAATAATCATCAATTTTCCTTCGAAGAAATCATTGCAAACGAAAAATTTCGAAACCTATTAACCGCGAATAAAATGGTACGTCAAGGGATTAATTAAAGCAATCACACGTTGAATACTTTTCGAACACGATTTCGAAGAACGCGACCGCGTTTGAAGAAACAGTTCTCGCAGCTCGATCGCATAAATAATCGTTTTGCGACAGAGACTCGTCGTCGGTACGATCTTGCAGGATGTCGAGGCTCGAGCGTATTCTACGACCATCCCTGTCCAGGCGATCCGGACGATCGCTCGGATCGGGGCTTCGGGATAGGGCTGTTTGCTCGCTGCTACTTTGTCCGGCTATGTATATATATATATATACGCGTACGTACGATCTACTTTCAATTGATAACGACGAAGCTGTAAAAACTTTGGAAACTCTGGAAAAGGGCTTCTCCGCTCGCCCCGCGGCTGTTGGCTCGCGAGCGGAGAAGGGCTCCGGGACGACCGCGTTGTCCTTGCTTCACGTATTCTTCCTCGCGGACCGCCGCTGCCGGCAACTTGGTGGACGAAGGGGAACGATCGCGTTCGCTCCGCGTGAAAAGGAAGCGCCATTGTTTTCCGTTGGAAAGCCCGCACGCGTTCCTCTCGGGCCCGGAATCAAGCGCGCCTCGAACGCGGCGGCCCCGCGATCCTCTCTCGTCCTCGTTTCCTAGCGAGAATTCCGAGCAGCCGATGCGCCGTGGTTTCCGTCGAGCAAGTTTCCTCGGCACTTCTCCCCGGACCCGCGGAGTCCTTCGACCTCGTCTTCGCCAAAGGTCTTCCTCGTCTTCGTCTAATGTCTACGGTGTCGCCTGCCGTTGGTGGTGCGGCTCCCTCTCCCCTCTTGCTCGCTTAGATTCCGACGAGACCACGCAGTCTCGTGGCCACGCATTATTTCCTCACCAACGAGACTAGGCTGCGGTGCGTCAGCTTCGGCTTCAGCGACAGCTTGCTCGGCGTGGCAGCCGTCTGCTGGTGGCTCCTGTTCGCCGTTTGCTGATCCCTCGCGTTCTGCTTCTTCTTCAGGGCCTCCTGCTTGGTGCCACTGTGCATGCGAACGCAGCAGAAGCTGTTTAGTACCGACACCGGTATAGAAAATACAAGTTCGTCGTGGGTTCGAGGCAGGTTGTTAATAAGGAGGGGATTTGCCGCTGTGTCCACGTTTGCTACCGTCTGGTCGCGTTTCATGCACCCGGATCAACGAGAGAGTAGAGATTTTTGGTGTCTCGGAAATGTCTCGCGATACGGAACGGGAGGGTGCCTCGGGTCATTTGAAGCAACTTTTTCCTTAACGAAAATTTTCTACGACGCGTCGTTTACGAGTTATTAACGAAAAACTGTGACCAATGAGAGGCGAGATCGGCCGACGCTCCGCCCTTGCGACCACTGCCGCTGAGTCAGGTAGGCGGCGCGACGCGGCATTGGCCGTACGGACGGAGTGCCGACCGCACTCGTTTTCCGATTGGTCCACGTTTTTCGTTGCTAACTCGTTAACGAAGCCGCGGATTGCATTTTCGCTAAGGAAGAAGTTGCTTGAAATGACCTCAGGAATCACCCCGTTCCCCGGGTGTTAACATAATTATGGGATTTCAGTATCTATCGTATTCACACGGATTTGAAAATGGTTTCGTTAATATTGTGTATCCGTGTCCTCGATTATTTAAAAAATATAAGGTGGAAGTCAGGGCTTTCCACCTTTCAGAGGGTAACAAATGTGGACACAGCTCGCATATGCGGGTGCTGCTACTTGTTAGTGTCTGGGGGTGGGATCAATTTTTGTGCAGTCAATATGTTCAATCTTCATAGTTAAACTGGGCACATCCCGATGTTTTTACTATTTTTTGTATTTCGTCTATTCTATTTTTTTTCACGAATACGTCAAATTTGTTAATCTATCTTGTTCAATTGCAAATAGGCTCTTATAGACAGCGTAAAAATTGTTTTCCGATACTCTGCTTCTACTTTTGCAGAATCTTACAACTTTCACTTTTCCTTTTTCAAACGAGATATCTACGTTGCACATCCTTCCTTTTCGGAGTCAGATAATAAATCGATGGTTTCTCAGCGAGCAAAATTTAATCATCAACCGATTCGATGCATTCGGAATATTTGAAGCATCGCTGGTCTAGTTAGATAAGGTTGGAACTAATTTTTAACTGAGTTTTGGAATTCACTTTTATTCTAACATACTGAACGAATATTGAACGGTTTCAGGATTTATACAGATTATATAAAACATATACAAGAAATATTAACAGTAGAACTACCGAACCCTAAACGCGAATTACATGTATTGTTTCATTAGAATGCCAAGACTTGATTTATTTAAACTTTGTACAATTTCTATTAGAAAATATTCTATATGCCGGAATAAAAAAGTGTAAAAATTGCATGTAAAAATTTCTCATAGAAAGATTTTCATAATATCAGGAATTTTAGAAGAGAAAGTTCATTAATTTGGTAAAGTTAAATTATTAATTTGCTAACTCTAGCGTGTTATACTAATATTTAGCAAAGTTAAATTATTAATTCGCTAACTCTAGCGTTATACTAATATTTAGCAAAATTAAATTATTAATTTGCTAACTCTAGCGTTATACTAATATTTAGCAAATAAATAATAATTAATAGTAATTAATAATTTAGCAAATAAATAAATTATTAATTTGCTAACACTAGCGTTAAACTAATATTTCGTACATTTCAACTTCCTAGCTTCGCTTTCGCCAATGGACTTCGATGTTCCAGCCTAACTTCGATTGAAGATGTTCAACGTGCGAACGAAAATCGCCGATTGAAATCGACGGAACAGATCGGGGGATTGTCGACGCATCAACGGCGGCGAGGTCGATGTCTCTCGAACAACGGGAAACAGCAGCGAGGCTGCGGCGGCAGGGAAAAACGGCGACTTTATCTTAAGAGAGTTCTCGTTCTACTTTGCATTCAGGAAAATGGGCCACGCGTCTTTTCACGAACATACCCTTTTTTCTTTCTTTTTTGCTGGATCCCTAATTGCGTTGAAAGACCTACTTCGTTCTAATAGGGAGAGAGAGAGAGAGAGAGAGAGGCGGCGGGAGCGCGACGCCGAGCGGAAAAAAGAGGAGGAGAGAGGAGCGCGCGAAAAAATGGTTTACGTTTGTCGGAACCGAACTCACAGATATCGGGTGAGGTCCTCGATGTCGACGAGCATCGAGTCCTGCTCCATGTGCAGGTCGTCCCGTCTCAGCAGTCCCTCGACCAGGGCCTCGTTCAGGGCCGCGATTCGAGCGTGCAGGTCGTTCGCTATCACCTGCAGCTGCGCGACGTTCAGCTCCGTCAGAAGCACTCGAGACAGCCTGCGTCTGTCCTCGCCCAACTGAACGCCGACCTGCGAGGAACACCGGCAATGGAAATCTGTTTTACGCTGGCCGGACGTGAATCGACCTGTTCGGCCGGCCGACCGTACAATTCTAAACGCGAGCCGAACGAACGTTTTATCCATTGTTTCGCGAGCCTTTTGGCCGCGCAGCCTCAAATACCGAAAGGACTCGTTCAGAGCTCACCACTTCAGCCGGAAAATATTTCATCGGGACTGTGGTCGTGATTCTCTGAAGGAATTATTCGGCAGTGGTTTAGAAACGAAAAGAGTGCGTCGAATGAACGTTTAAAACGGGAAATGTTAACCCTTTGCGCTGCGATGTATACTTTGATACGGAGACATTGAATTATTATTGTTTGAGGTGATCGTGTAAATCACATGAATAGAAACATAAAATCTTTGATTTATTAGTTCGTATAAATAATATAATATCTATATGAATAATGTATATATATGTAAATTTTTTAATATAATATCGTGTAAATAATATGTAGATATTATAATATATAATATCATATAAATAATATATAGATATTGTAATATAATATCATATAAATAATATATAGATACTGTAATACGATATTATATTAGATTAGATGTGATTATATCAGAGAAATCTTCTGAGTGCTAAGGGTTAACAAGGTCCTTTCAGCAAATACAAAACGAAAATAAACAGAATTAAAAAAAGAAAAAGAAACAAGTGAAACAAATACAACATGTGTCCGTCGTTGTGGGAAAATTGTGAACAGAATTTGAGAGGCAAAGTACAGTAAGTGTAACATGTGTCAAAGATCATCAGGTTAGAACCTTCTCTTTTATCTCGTTCTATTCTTTATGAAAAAAAGTGAACGTTATTATATTATTTTATTTATGTATAACGAACATTATCGTCGCACTTGCTTTTTTATCGCCAACAGAAATATCGTCTTTATTTCGAATTCTTTGACGCAGGTTTAAAATCGGACGTGTCTGACCGTGACAGGCCGCTTCCCCTTGAACTCTGAACAGCCAACGTAAATTCTCCCTAATTGACGCTCACCTTGTGGGCTCGTTTTTATAGTTGTTAACAATCGGTGACTATAAAAACGAGCCGCGAGGCTCGGATAATCGCGCCTCCTCTTTTCAAATTGTCCATTTTTATTTCCAAGCTGAACGTCAATTAGGGAGGATTTACTGTATTGTTAAAACACGTCGTACTGGTATTTTTGAAATCGATTGTAACTTGTAATACGAACCGAATATTGGGAAACAGTCGAAGCAGGAACTATTTAATTTTATCAAATTTATAGAAATTGAAGAGAAGTTATATTCCACGCGATCGTGCAATTAATTAACCGGACAGTCACCGGATCGTTTCATCGCAAGGTATTTAAAACGTTGCCTGATTATTCAATTTTTTAGAATCGACAACTTTTGTTTCGTAAAGTCCGTATCGATACGCTCGTTCGTCAAATCTTTAAACAGTCTAACTGTTTTCAACGTTTTAACGTTTCATATTTTCTTCAAAGCGTTACAGTAAATTCTCCCAAATTGTCCCTCAGCTGGTACACAAAAATGGACAATTTGGGAAGAGGTGATACGATTATTCGAGCCTCGCGGCTCGCTTTTATAGTTACCGATCGTCGACAACTGTAAAAACGAGCCGCGAGGCTCGAATAATCGTGTCTCCTCTTCCCGAATTGTCCATTTTTGTTTCCAAGCCGAGCGTCGATTAGGGAGAATTTACTGTACTTGCACGCGTACGCGAACCTTGGTGGGAGAGCACTGCCACGAATGGGACACTTTTATTTAGAACAAGATAACGAAACAGCTGAACGACCTACCTGATTCTAGTTTAAAGGATTTAAACATTCGAGTTTGAGATGCGTTTAAAAAATTTAACTGGAAATCAACCTCCTCGGATTCTCAGCGAATCTGGTCGAAACTGCGGACTCCAATTTCTCTTTATTGTCCAGGAGCGAGATACGGTAAATTCTCTGCAATTGTCCCTCGGTTTGTATACAAAAATGTGAAATTTGGGAAGAGGAGATGCGAGTAGTTGAGCCTCGCGACTCGTTTTTATAGTTGTTGAGAATCGGTAAATGTAAAAACGAGCCGCGAGGCTCGAATAATCGTATCTCTTCTTTCTAAATTGTCTACTTTTGTGCGCAATCTGTGCGCGAATTGGGAAGAAATTACGGTAATCGTATCTCCTTTTCCCAAATTGTCCATTCTCGTGCGTAAACTCAGCGCGAATTAGGGAGAAATTACTGTAATCGTATCTCCTCTTCCCAAATTGTCCATTTTCGTGCGCAAACTCAGCGCGAATTAGGGAGAAATTACTGTAATCGTATCTCCTCTTCCCAAATTGTCCATTTTCGTGCGCAAACTCAGCGCGAATTAGAGAAAAATAACTGTATCCGAGTCTCACGGTTCATGTTTATAGTTATCGATCCGTCAACAACAATAAAAACGATCCGCGAGGCTCGAATAATCGTATCTCCTCTTCCCAAATTGCTTATTTTCGTTTCCAAGCCGAGCGCCAATTAGGAAGAATTTAGCGAATTTCCCGCAGCGAAAGTTCTTGCATTAAATCGCGCCGACCGACCGAACAAACATACGAACGAAGACGATTTCTAACTCACCTTCTCCAGGCTGGATCGCACCATCTCCGTGATGGGGCTCTGTTTCAGCCTTTGCCTCTCGACCTCCATCTGCATGTGAGCCATCTCCTTGGCCTGCGCCAGGGCCATTCTGGCCTCGGTCTGTAACCTGGCCTGCCTGGCGAAGAAGTCGGCCTCGTCGATCGGCGCCGAATTCGAGTCCACGTCGAGCCTCAATGGCGGAAGACTGAGCACCTGAGGTCTGATCGGCATCTGTTGTTTCTGTTGCTGCTTCGAGTTCAAGGAGGTCGGCGTGGATCCCGGCGAGGCGTCGTTCTCGGAGCACGGTGACTCCGTGTCCGACGCTGTCTCGTTCATGAAGCAGATCTGAAGATTCATTCCTGAACAGAGAACCGTCCGTCCGTCAGGAACGTCTTCACCCTCCGCGAGACAAATTCCTTCCGCGCGCATTAAAGAATCATCGTCTCGAAGGAGGAAAAACCGTCGCGAATAATCTATTTATACGAATGTGGACAGACGATGTGCTCGGTGTTGTGCGATCAGCCGAATCGGATTTCTACTTGCGAAATCTTGTGCAATTCCGCGCGATCGTCGCAATTAGCCCCGCGTATTTGTTACGCGGACGCGGACGCTCGCGTCGCCCCGTCGCGTTATTAAAAGAATCACATCGCCGGTAAGAAAATAATTCACGGTAATAATAATAATAAATAATAACAATAAATAATTTACCGTAATAATAATAATAATAATAATTTACGGCTGCGAATCCGCGCAGCAAATTAATTGATTCGCGCTTCGTCGCGCGAACTTCCCACGAAATTCAGTCGTCCCGGTGACAATATCGAAGCTAAAAATAACTATAGCGTGTCTATAGCATCGGTATCAGATAATTTTATATCGGAAATTTCATCGAGAAACGAATCGCAATATCAAGTTCCCTCGAGAAACGACGCAAAGCCGTTCGGCTTCTAATAATCACGCGTGGAAATTCTAATCGACGTAAAAAAGAAAAATACGCGCGACTCTTGTGCAACGTCTCTTACATTTAACCGGAAAAAAGTGCTCGCCCGCATCTCGTCGCAAGCCCCGGACAAGCTATCTTTCGAAGCACGGGTCACTGTATCGACTCAAAATCCATCGAAACTGTTCTCCTCCGCCTCGTCATTTCCGGGGATCAATTATTCAACGCGTTCGCCGTCGATCGCACGTGTTGTCCTCTCGCGAACGCGCGTCTGTCCCGCACTCTTCCAGCTTGATCCGTCTCTCTGGCTGTCAAAACGCACGCTGTCAAAGATCGGCACAATGGGAACGATCAAACGCGGATTTCTTTGTGACCGGAGCACCGTGAAAATCGCCTATACTGGCACGCGCGACGAGCACCGACACCGATCGTTTCGCGGCGAGAAGACGCGCGAGTGAAATTCGTGAAATCTTTGGGAATCGCGGTCGAGCAGTGTTTAGAGGCGATTTCTGGAGAACGAGAAGCAACGGGGAACGCTCGAAACGAGGAAGAAAACGTGTTCGAGCCGGAGCCCCGGCGTTAGGGGCTGAAGCGATACCGACCGCTTTGAAGCCGCGACTGGAGGCTCGGCTTTCTTCCGCGTTCAGCGCGCAAGTCTTCGGCATCTGGACCCATCGCCAGCCTCCTTCGGATCTCTTCACGGTCGTTCCGTCGCTGCGAACAGACACAGAAATCTGAAGAGTGCGACCACCCGTTACAGCACCACCCCATCCCTCCCACCTCCGCTGGGGGATGATGGAGGCATCCCCTTGCAACAATCCCCCGGGTACCGTGTCCACTGTGTTCAACCGTATCGCAATCACATTCGCGCGTGCTCCCGTGCCGTGTAACCATTAATGAGATTCGCCGCGTTTCTCCTCCATCAGCGCCGCGTAATGCGCCGCGAATTACTTCGCCCGGCGTCATTAATGGATTCCGTTACGATTTAACCAGACGACAAATTCGTCTCTGTGCCCTGTCGGCTTCGGTATAGGGGACCGGCTTGGGCCGTTATTTTCGTCGATAATATTGCTTGTAGGACAAGTGGATCTCGTTGCTGTATATTCGGCTGTATTTTAAGCTATATTAATTCGCATTACACTAATGTAATGTCAGCCATTTGTTGCACGGAGATTAAATTATTGAATTTAGAGGTGAGTTAAATTATTAGATTTTATTTGATATTTTGGGAGAAAATTATTTACTTGTAATCGTAGAAACGAGATTATTCACGAAATTTTTGGTATTAAAAATGTGTATTATACATTAATATGTATGTATATATAATATATATAATAATAATAATAATATATTATATATAATAATACATATAATAATAATAATATATTATATATATTATAATAATACATATAATAATAATATATTATATATGTTATAATAATACATATAATAATAATATATTATATATAATAGTATATATAATATAACATGTAT